TTGATGCACATTCCTGGTTTAATTTGAACTGTTCATTTGTGCTATTTGTATTTGGATCCACAAATGCCTTGATCATTTATTGATTGCATCATTACATTTATGTCCTTCAGTAAAATTGGAGAAGAGCAGTCTGCGGAGGACGCCGAGGACGGGCCACCTGAGCTGCTGGTGAGTCGAGATAGATTTGCTGAAAATATTTACTGTGACAGATAGAGCTATAATGATATGATTATTGATAACTATTTCAATACCGCAGCAAAAAACACACTATTGATCACACTCTATTTTAGTATAAAGTTGAATACTAGTGTAAATAACTTAATAAAATAATAATACAAATTTAACTAATATATATATATATATATATATATATATATTAATTAATTATTAATGTAGGATTATATATTTAAACATTTTTTGGGGTTTGTAAGATTGTAATGTTTTTGAAAGAATCTCTTATGCTTATCAAAGCTGCATTTATTTGATAAAAAATACTAGTTTTTGACAGTAATACTGTGGAATATTACGGTTCAAAATAACGGATTTCTATTTAATATAAAATTCAATTCATTCCTGTGATGGCAAAGCTGAAATTATCATCATTACTCCAGTCTTCAGAGTCACATGATCCTTCAAAAATCATTCTAATATGCTGATTTGATGGTCAAGATACATTTCTGATTTTTATCAATATTGAAAAAAGTTGTGCTACTTTTTAAATATTTTTGTGGAAACGGATGCATTTTTTTCAGGATTCTGATTGAATAGAAATCCTAAATGAATTGAATCATTCTAATGAATAGAAAGTTCAAAAGAAAGCATTTATTTAAAATAGAAATCTTTGTAAGAAATCTATTTACTGTCAGTTTTGATCAATTTAATACATCCTTTCTGAATTAAAGTATTAATATCTTGTAGTGTTGTCAGAAATGGTAAATTTAACTCAAATTAAATAGGGTCCAATATTACATTTCTGCCTTATCAATATATCGATACCATCTGCGCTTTATTGCTGTCTATGTTCTCTCCGACAGCGAGTTAACACACACACACACACACACACACACACTTGCCTCCTCTCACTCACTCGTCTCAATACGCTCCTATAGTGTTGGGGTTATAGGGCATGAATTTCAATGCGGGATTGTGGGTCTAGCGCATAGTTTTACTTCTCACAGATTTCACGGTCACACCCAAAGCGCACACATATAAAGTGGCGTCTTAAACAGCTTGAGAAAATTGTCAAAATGCTCGTCTTGGCGAGTATTTACATTAAACACAGTCGGTTGTGTCTTGATTGAAGGTAAACAGAAGAAAACGCATGTGTGTTGGATCCATGCATGTGGTCTTAATGTGACAGCAGCCTAATATTCCTGCTGCCGTCTGTTAATCAATGAGCAAAAGTAAAGAGAAAATCACTCGCTTAATAACTTTTAACCTTAATTGTAAGGATTAATCTGTATTTATTTTTTTACAATGAAGACTATCCAGTGTTATTTTACATTTGATTACTTTCTTTTATTTCTGTAGTATTTCTTACCTGAATGCAACTATTAGACCTACAGTACCTGACAAACTTAAAGCACTATTTATTCCATTTGTATATTTATTCTATTGTATTTATTTTTGATTCTGTTTATTTGTTCTTATTTTATTATTGACTGTTTGTGTTTTTATGTCAATGAAATGTAAAGTTTGAAACCAAGCTTCCTTGTGCGATGTGTAAGCTATTGCGCAACAACATTACCCCATTGTAAAAACACAAATACATTTAAGTGAGATGATTGTAATGGTAATAGATTAAGTATAAAATATCAAAATTAAATTCAAAATTAGATTCAAAATCTTGTCTCTTTAGAAGCCTTGGATTAAACCGCTCGATTTATGTGGATTACTATTATCATGTGTATAATTTTTGAAGCTTGAAAATATTGATAGTATTTCAATGCATGTACAAAAATTCTGAGATAATATTGAAAATATCTATATGGCAGTGTACATGTAAATTATTTTCCCCCATGGTATGGAATATTGATATATTTCAAGATATCGTTTTATACAAAGTTAGAAATTCCATTATCGTGACAACGTACACGGTACTACAGATCCTTTACAAACTTTTTTGTTTGTTCTGCTTGGTATCAAAGAGCCAGTTTTGACAGTCTAATAATCCACTTTTGTTTGTTTTGGCAGTTCATTCATGGTGGGCATACAGCTAAGATCTCAGATTTCTCCTGGAACCCAAATGAACCCTGGGTAATCTGTTCTGTGTCAGAGGACAACATTATGCAAGTATGGCAGATGGTAAGTACAGCAAAACTGTAGATTCTTAAGATTTCCATTTTTTTTTTTTTATGTATTTGATATTAGGACTTTCCATTGATGTCATAAACTTCTCTCGTTTAGGCTGAGAACATCTACAATGATGAAGAGCCAGACACCCCCGCGTCAGAGCTGGAGGGACAGGCGTCATAACTGATCTCATTAAAAATCTACAACCCTTTCATGGCTTCTTACTCCAGCTTTTGCTTTTCAGCATTATTCAGTAAAATCCATCCCTTTTACTTTCTACTCCATACATAGCAGATACGTTATCCATTACAGGGTCCTTCTGTAGGCTAAAAGGTTCAGCCCACACCCATTTCAGTAGAGAAGTTTGTCCTCAGATGGTTTGGAGAAAGACTGCACCACTTGTTCAATCACTTCTGAGAAGTTACGGCCTGGTGTGGCTCATCACAATTCAATTTTTTTTTTGTGCATAAACCTGGTGTCAATTTGCAATAAATCTTTTGTAATAACTTTTAGAATGATTTTGTATTCCTAAATTGTTGATAATTTTCTGTACTTAATTCACTTATGAAAATAAACTACAGATCAACTGTTAGATTCTTTTTGTCTCGACATCTGAAGCTACATATTTAGTGTGAATGCTAAATAGTACTACTCGCTGTGTCTGGGCACGTGAAGATGAGGTGAAACAAGGCATGACTAAGGAAGATTCTACAAAATGTTTTATTGAAAAGCAAGACAGAACTACAAGAGCGTTGTACAATCTCAGAGGGGTCACGGGCTGAGCTGGGGGAGAAAGAAAAGCTCTCTTGAGCTTCTTTCACAGTATGTCTTACCTGAAGAGGTAGATTTATTGCATAACCTGAGAATCTGCAGTGCCAAAACAAAAATAATGCAGTAGCGATACAAATGACTACCAACACCTCCACAAATTTAGAATGAGCATGACCCCAAATACAGATGTATGTCTCAAAATAATAGCTCACAGACTTCTGCAGATACAATATTTGACTGAGGTGAAACTTGCATCAAGGAAATCCACACAAATCAAGTGCTGTTCTTATAATAAAAATCAACATTCTTATCCAAAATTTGAGATTAGATGATGAAAAGAGAACAAAAACAGAATTGATGGAAGCTGGTGAAGATCTACCTTTCCATTGTCGAGTTTTACAGTTTGGCAAGTTGAACACATTCAGACCTGTCAGCCCATTTTTTTTTTAGAAAACAACTTGCCCTTCTAAACTTATGTGACTGCATTCATCCATTACATTTGGTTACAAAAAACACCATATGTGGTTAGTTCAACTAAAAGTAGATTAATATCATGTTCAATGCGCACTGAATGAAAATGCTGTATGAGTTTTGTTGGATTCAGTGTTGAGGAATGTACTGGTCAGTGTGAGGTTCAGATCAGAACACGAACAGAGCCAGATGTTATAATGGACCTGAAGAGGCAAGTGTTTCTAGACCCTGTGTCCTCCACGTGATGATGACCAGTGCTGCGTTTCCCAAAAGCATCGTAAGCCTATGTAGATCGCAGAACTGTTGCCACAAATCAATTTAGCTCACGATTTTTTTGAGAAACGCAACCCAGATCTTAAAGGTCTGTGAGGCTGTTTGTTTAGACAGGATATTGGCAACTTCTACATTCATAAGTTCAGTTCTCGACATATAGTTTCACATTAGCAATATTCAGAATGTTTGCAGCTCTTCAGAACATTTTAGCATTGAATGTAAAGAATTGAATAACAAACATTTTATTGTTGTTAATTAGAAAGTCCAAAAAAGAGAATCACATTCAGAATATTCAGCATCAAATGCGTCAAGGCCCCTTTTAACATGTGAAAGTTTTGCGTTAAGTTTGAGTAAAAAATCGTGACCTGTCCATTTCAGACAGGCAAAAAAAATTAAAATAATAATTACTCACATACTCACCTTATGTTGTTCCAAACCTTTGACATAAAAGGTTTTGAATTCATTTTTTCTGTCCATACAATGCAAGTCAATCATTAACTTTCATTATATGGTCAAAAACAGTTCAATCTTTGAAATATCTTTTTTTTTTTTTTAAAGTGTCATACAGGTTTAGACAGACATGAAGGCAAATAAATAAATGATATTTGGATGAAATACCCTTTTAACAGAAAAAAAAAATTGTAAAAAAAATAATAATAATTCCAATTAAAACAAAAGCTATCATTAGGACTGATCAACAGGAGAATCAGGATAATAAAACAAACCAAAGGAAGGAGATTCTCGCCTAATCTTGCTCTTTCAGCAAACAATATGCCATTATATCATTAAGTATTAAGAAGAGATTTTTGCAAAGGAAGAATTAAAAAAAAAATCAACCAATTATTTAAAAAAAAAACATCCTACTGGCTTGAAGTGGCTTGGATACCCTGATTCAATAAAACCTACCCTGTTTCTTAAATAAATGGGTTTGCAAAGTTGAAGTGAATTTTAATGTAATATAAATGCACGTGGCACTTTACATTTTCTGTTGGTAATGCGTTTCTCTTCATCTGTCATACAACAAAAAAGTCCCTACCGTAGAACTTTCAGTGAGACCGTTTGACCCTGTCCAAGTATTTCACATAATTGTTGGAGATGTAGCAGCCTTTTACAAAGCCAAACTAGCCCTTAATCAGATTCTCATATGAAAACCAGTCACAGGCAGTGAGAAGAAGTCTTGACCCCTCTCTTACATAAGACATGTATCATCCTTTAAAGTCCATTTCATGTCCATTTTAGTCAAAGCAATAGAAGCGTGACTTGTTATGGACAAGTCTTGGCTCTGACTCAAAGTGCCAATGAGAAGGTAAGTGTGTGTTAATGTATCTCTCCTCTATTATTAATGCCCTGTTTTTCCAGTCTCAATGTTATCTGGTCAGCTAGAACTGGACTGGCTAGTTGACTATGTACGGTTATTTTAAAATAGCAATGTTAAACATTATATGCATCTAAAATGATTTATTCAGATTCTAGAGGTCAGAGCGAAGAGCTACATTTTATTAAAGAGAAACGAAAGATGTGCAACCACAGCACAGCTGAACAGGAAAGGGCTGGAAACAGATTGGGGAGGCGGGGGTGGAGAAAAAAGAAAAAAAAAATATACGAAACAAAGCTGCATGGTGGCCGTCTTGGACCACATGACCATTTCCTACGAAAATACAATGTGATAGAAAACAGGGAGTAAAAAGTGCTCGATTGCCAACGTATAGAGCAGTCAGCGTCTTCACTAATGTCCTGCTTTTTTCTCACAAATTTTATGATAATAATTGTTAGACAAAAATATATACCTCCACAAAGAAAAAAAAGAAAAGAAAGGGCACCAGAAGGCCAGGCTCAGTCGTCAATGAGTTGTCTGGATGAGGTGGTGCCTGATTCCTCAGGCTGAAGCCCAAGTTTCTCTGTTTCAGGCACCAAACCCTCCGTCTCTCCCTCCACCTCTCTCTCCATCTCTGGGTTGGAGAGCACCTGTGGCTGGGGGTCAGGAGGCCCTGTACCTTCTTCCTCAGGATCTTTCGCTGGGCCCTGAAGGGCCAGGAGTTTCTGGTTCAGGTCGTTGCGTTCTCTCTGCAGGGCCCTGCAAAGCTTCTCCAGACGCTCCAGTTTGCCTTGGAGGGCCTTGTAATTCTTGTCTCGCACTGTTTTCTACGAGACAAATGAAAGTAGCAATTTCAGCAATCAGCAAGTGCACATTAAATTGATCAAAAGGGACCGTAAACATTTATTAATGTTGCAAAAGATCAAACCAATTAATTACGAATATACCTAGCTCTTTTGAACTTTCTATTCATCAAAAAATCCTGAAAAAAACTAAATCATGTTTTCCACATAAACATTAATCAGCACAACTGTTTTCAACATCGATAAAAATAAGAAATGTTTCTTGATCAGAAAATCAGCATATCAGAATGATTTCTGAAGGATCGTGTGACAGCGGGAGGTTATAATTATCAAGCCTACTGAATATGATCGGGCAACACGATCTCATGAAAGTGCGTATCTATAGCACGAATTTTATTTCTCGTGCCATTTATATGCCAAAAAATAGTTTTTGCGTGCAAATGAAACTCACTAAACCCCTTGGTTAGGGTAATGGGTTTGAAGTGCGTTCTTGCCATAAAGTGCGTATTGTATGCACGCGAAAACTGCTTATCATGGGCTATGCAAGCAAAAACTATTTTTGCCATATAAATGGTACGAGAAATAAAAACGTGTGCAATAGATACGCACTTTCATGAGATCGGGCTGGATCGGGTGAAAGCACATTTTAAACAGACCTCGCTTTCTCACTAATGCATTGCATTCAAACAAATGTAATCTTAAAGTACTGTCGGTATTTGATTTCGAATGAGCAGAAATCTGTAAGAAATGTAGCGACCCGTAGATAAAATAACTGATGAAAACGTACTTATTTTCTTCAAACAAAATGTGCTCTGCAAAAAGCAGCAATGATATTTAACTTATAATGCTGATAACCTGTAATAAGCATAGCATGTCATAGGAAAAGTTTGCACACTATCCAATAAACCACATTGCAACTATTCTCCTAATGTTGTTCTTTATTTTATTTATTTAATATGCCTATATATTATGACGAGGAGAAATTTTGTGAGATTTTAAAGCATACTTAAAGCTGCTGTAGGTAACTTTTGAAAACATGTATTTGCTAAAACTGTCATTATGTCCTGACAGTAGAATATGAGACAGATAATCTGTGTAAAAATCAAGCTCCTCTGGCTCCTCCCAGTGGTCCTATTGCCATTTGCAAGAAATACACGCTCCCGGTCAGAAACAACCAATCAGAGCCGAGAGGAGTGTCTTAGCAGTGTCAGTCACACTCGTGTACGCGCTGATCACACCCCTCTCTTGCACAGAGCGAGCCGTCGTTCAAACTCAAGATTGCCGGCGTGCTGCAGCTGTGCTTATGACGGAGAAACAACCTAAACTGCCAATTCTCGAGTGACACCTGCTCATAAAACAAAGAGGTAAAAGGAAAAAGACCGATGACGATAAACAAGCGAAAAAGAAAGAATTACACAGAGCCCATTGACTCGGTGTCAAAACTCTAGCCGCGTAACATGTAGATAAAATGTCACGCACTCTGCTAAGCAACAATTGAAACCTGCTAATTCACTGGCTTGTCATGTTGCTGAAATAATGTACGAGCACACCTTATCTAGCATTATATATCGCTAGAATAATTACTTACATACTGTAACGTTAGTTACCGTTATATTAACGTTATCTTACTAGCTATTTATAACTTATAGAAAGAGTGCAACGTTATAAAGTTACATGTAGGCTATTGGAAAATACATAATGATTTGAGGACCAAGTTTGTAGTCAAAGTATGGGCAGGCCATAGTCAATGTAAAGCATATTATTGATGTTTAGTCCCTATTAGTGAGTGTGCCATATAACTTTTTATCCGCTGTTATCGGTGGCCCTGTTTACTAGCCTGCGCGTTCACGACAGGCTCCGCTGTGGAGGACGAGCTGTGGAGGGAGGACTGTAGTGCAGCAGAGAGCCAAGGGGGTGGGACCTGTAAGTTGTGCTTGTTCAAATTTTCAGGCTAAGTCAACGTTTTCTCAAAACTCCCTACTGCAGCTTTAAGTACTTTATTTGCAATTTCCTTGGGGAACGAAGACGGAGCGGTGTTATCAGTGAGCGAGGAGTGGAGCGGTAAATGGTGAACCCGGAGCGAAGCTGGAGCGGAGTGATTATTAAATGCTTGGAGCGGGGAGGGAAAATTGTTGCCGCTCCACTCCGCTCACATACTCTGGTGGGAATGGTGTGAGGTCGGTGGCGCGATTGCTAATGAGCGTCACCTGCGCACCACACCGGTCTCGAGTCCCATGGAGGAGCTAGGGAAGGATAAAAGGAGGAGTGACGACAGTGGAGGAGGAGAGAGGACCAGGCCTGGGCTTTATGTTGGTGCTTTATTTTAGTTAATGCTGCAGTGGTCCATGAGGAGCTCCTGCTGGTGCTTTACTTTCGTTTTGTTCTTTATGTTTATTTTATTATTAAAGTTATGTTTAACGTTCGCCGGTTCCCTGAACACAAACCTTTAGTAAATGCTGTGTGTTTTAAAAAAACACACCAGCTCTATTATTCCTCTCACCTCTTCTGCCATCTGCAGTAGAGTCTGGTTGTTAGTCTCCCATTTGGTCCTCCATAGCGTGGTCTCCTTCTCAAGCTTCTTGATCTTCTTTGTCATCTGATCAGTCACAGAAAATAAAATTGTTATGCAAACCACGCCTTTCCATACAGATAATTATAACGTCATATTTTTCAAGCTTTCCTTTGATTGTCTTTTAAACAGTAAGTACTTATCACTTCATTGTCCAAAAGCTTTATGTTTGGAATAATGTGAAAATGTAGAAACAAATTAAATGTAGCAGTTTTCACAAAATAAAGTAGCTCAACTGTTGTTGTTTTTTGACAATATTACTGTATTACTGTTTTTACTGTATTTTTTATCAAATAAATGGAGCCTTGGTGAGCACAAGAGACTTCTGCTGAGACTTCACACTTCCTGCACACTCACTTTCTCCATCTCCTGTCGGAAGGTGGTGAAGACCTCGTTGCTTTTGGCGAGGGTGGTCTGAAACTCCTCAAACTTGTCCATGTACAGAGTGAGCTGCTGCTTTAACTGATGCTCCTGCTCCTTCATCAGCTCACATTTATGTCTCGACTCAGTCGCATCCTTCAGAAGCTGAACAGAGAATATAGATCAACCAATCAGCATTATGATGACAATTTTCCTGGAGTCAAGAGTGATTAGTAGGGTTGGGTATCGTTTGAATTTTAACGATTCCGATTCTTATATATACACACCCAATTTCGATTGCAATAAAGTAAAAGAAAAAAGAAAACTCGGATATCATTCAGATTTATTCTAAGTCTTATTGCAATATCAAGTCTAAAGAACACTTCCACAAGGAACTTTGGCCTACGGTTTAAAAATATCATAGCAAAAACAACTAGCCTAACTAATATAAATTTCAAGCATTATTAAAAGACAAGTAAACACTCAGTAACTAAAAAAGAACAAATAAACAAATTAGCAATCGCACAGATAAATACAACTGAACAAACACTTAAAATAAACAGTGTTTTAAGATTTGCAGGTATTCAGGTACAGAAACTGTTCAAATGTAAAATAACACTGAACAATTTTATAACTATATTTGTTATGTACATTTCACTTATAAAATCAGTCAAGAACAGCGAGTGAATATTGTCTTTTGTTTTTTGATTAACGTTATTATAGAGATGGCAGCAGGAATTTGAGGCTGCTGTCACTTTAAGAGCTGCATGGATCCAATATACTGTTACACATGCGTTTTCTTTATCAACTGTTTATGTTCACTCAAGACATAACCGACTGTTACGGGAATATTTTGATATTTGTGTGTGTATTTGTCCATTCGAGTGCAAAAAAGAAAGAAAGGGAAGAAAACTCAGTTGAGTATCGCGCATTATACAGTATGAGAGGTGGCTTTTTGTGTGCACGTTTTTGGATATGTGTGCAGCACAGAAAACAGCGCACGGGTCGTCTTGCGCTTGAATGGTTTAAAGTCATATTAAAATGCACACAAAGTAATCGATAAGAGCAATCAAAATGAAAGTTTTATAACAATTATCTAATTCCTGACCTACAGAATTGGAATCGATTTTTGATTCCCAACCCTACTGTTTAGTCACATGTAGGGCTGCACGATTAATCGCAATTTCCATGTTATCGCACTTAAACCGATTTGGCTTATTGTGATTTTGAAATCGCAAAGGCTGCAATTATTATTTAACGGCAGCTTGTCATTGATGTACGGCTCTGTAAACCCTGCTCCATCTAAAAGCACTGAGTTTGAGTCACTTATAACTAGGGGTGGGGGAAAAAATCGATTCTTAGATGCATCGCGATGCGGATGTGGACGATTCTGAATCGATTCACAATTGTCAAAAATCGATTTTCAAAAAAAAAAAAAAAAAATTTAGATATATATTTATAATAACGTAATATTGACGGAACGCGAAAGACGGAACTCTGAAGCGCGGAAGTGCAGTGGCCGGACCGTCTGTGGCGTGCACATAACAGACGCGGACGCGATGGCTGAGCGCCAAATCCAAACACCCTCCTCGTTAAAAGCTGACGTGTGGAAATATTTTGGCTTCTGAAGTTGAAGGGGGAAAGGAGCTGGACAAGAGCCACACTAGTTGTAAGCTTTGTAGAGTAAAACTAAAATATTTCGGAAACAAGACACATATGAGAAGCCATATGACACGTTTCCAGCCAGAGGAGGAAAAACACTCGGCTGTAACGTTACCGGTCGTTGTTATATTATTAATTTACTACAAATATGCTGCTGCTAGTTCAGACACACATGTATTTTCCTGTTGGTTCTTTGCAATGTTAATAAAATATATTGTACGTTAATTCTTTATGGGTCATTACTTTGTACTTTTAAAGCAAAGTATTTATAGTCACACACACACAAAAAAAAAGATTCTGATAATCGATTTAGCATCGAATCGCAGCCCTCTGAATCGTAATCGAATCGAATCGTGAGGTGCCTAGAGATTCCCACCCCTACTTATAACGTGCATTTGAAAAAGCAACATGCGTCAAACATTTTTCCAAACATGAGAAGCATAAATAAACCTCTTGTCCAACAAAAGACAACATTTAATAACATGCTTTTACTCCAAAATCACTTCATAACGACAGTTGAGCATCCTTCTGTGAGATGATGTGGCTTTCTACACAGAATAAGGCAGTCGTGTGTTTATTAGTCATGTTTAATCAAAGCGTTTCAATCTTCTGTTTATTCAGCTACAGCGATGATAGGGATTTCCTGGAATGATGTGCGTTATCTACTTCTGCAGCGGCACATATTTGGAGAGTCTGCGTGAGACGCCCTCTGGCTTTCAGATGGAGCAGCATTTACTACCGATCAGCCGCACTGCACTGACAAACTGCGCATAAAATAATCGCAGCCTTTGCCAAATCGTGTGCGGTTTCATTGCGATAATTTGTGCAGCGCTAGTCACATGGTATTTATAGCTTAGATGATTGGCTCAAATAAACTTGGTTGCAGACGTGAGCAAACATGCCAGATTTCATGTCCCATAGGACCCATACATCAGGTGGTTTCACACCAACCAAGCAACTGCCCTTGTTATGAATGGGAATGCTAAAGGATAGCTTTACCCACATATTATAGATCTCCTTGGTTTGAAGTACCAATCCTTCAGGATTAAGCCCAGCTCAAAAACAGGATTAGGATTATTACAAGGATACTCACAAACTCTCTTTCTCTCTGCTGTTTCTCCTCCACCTCTCGCATCAGTTCAGCCGTCCGCTGGAGTTTAGCATCCACCAGCTGCTGTTGCAGTTCCTTGTGTTTGAACACCTTGTCGATGTGCTGGGTAGAGACAAATGTCACATTCACATTATTCTTCAAAACATCAAAAAAATCTTCAAAAGATGTGCAAGGATTCCAGACCCATCCATTTCTAGATATTTTAGCTATAGAAAAACAGTCCATTATGCTGCTTGATCCTGCAAACTAGTATTTGTTGTCATATAATTAGGGGTTCAAACGCAATGCGCTAAAACTATTGTTTTTGTAGGGATTTTTAGGGGTTCAAGTGCGAAATGCAAAAGCCAATGAGATCGGACCATAGGTGGCGCTATAACTGTTAAAAACATATTTCCTTAGTGAATTGCCTGTATTTGCTGTAAATGGTCTTTTCCATCTATAATGTAGGTGGTTACAGGCTTGCTAAATAAAACTTTATACTTTTTTTGCATAATTATGCTTAAAACACTTGAACCCTGTTAATTGCTGCTTGCATCTATATTTTTAATTTACTGTAATCATAAACACACTGATTCATAGTGCAAATATCTAGTTCAGTAATGAAACTAGAGTGCGCATGCAGATGGTCAGTTGATATGAATTTTGCATAACAGGTCCCCTTTAAAAAAATATGCTCAGCTGTTACTCAAAGCCTGAAACACCATGACCAATTTTAAAATATTATTTTTATTTTTTATAAACTCACAAGTTTCTGAATCCACATTAAAGCCCGATAAAGTGATCATATGCACTACCTGTTAAAAGTTTGGAATAATCTATATTTCTTAAAGCTGCTGTGTAATATTGTGATAAATATATTATTAGAATTTAAAATAACTTTTATTATTTTAATACACTTTAAAATGACATTTATTCCTGTGATAGCAAAGCTGAATTTATATCATCATTACTCCAGTCTTCAGTGCCACATGATCCTTCAGACATCATTATAATATGCTGATTTTCTGCTTTATTAATAATGGTTCTTATTATAAATGTTGAAAACAATATTTTGGACAATATTAATGTTTTTACTGTATTTTTGATCAAATAAAATCACAGACAATGTACGTTACGCATAATCCTGCATACATAGATGTGATTATGCGTTTATTCAGTGAACCAGCTACTTCATAATGATTTAATTTGAGGTTGCACATTTGGAACGAGCTCAACACGCAAAACATCTCTGAGGACACTGCATGTCTGAGGAACACGTTTAGAATTAAGCAAATATAATGTAAAACCATGAAATGAAACAGCAGCAAATATTCTTGGCTGTCACGTGTCCACCAACCCAACCAGCCATGACTACTAAAATGTCATATCTCAGAAGCAATATGAATGAATAAAACACCTCAACATTTACAGAGTACAGAACAAATGAAACCTCTGCACCTCATAATTCTCTGAGGACTTAACCAAAGCAATACAGTCATTTTACATATTTGACAGATGTTGCCTCACCTCCTCCCGGAGCTCGTACTGCTCAATGAGCTTCTTGAGTTTCTCAGCCAGCTCCATGTTCTCCTGCCGCAGTTTGCTGTTATGCAAGTTGTGCTGCTCCATCTGGGCCTCAATCTCATTCAGCGTCATCTGGAAGTGCAACGTCGCCTCCTTGCGCCGCTCCTCGTACTCCCTGAACCGCTGAGCGTTCTCCTCCTGTTGTCACAATGGTTATCTGGTTAAACTTAAGCCTGGGACACACCAAACCGACTTCAAAGAACTAGCAATTTTGAAAAACCAACGGTGTTGTCGCCTCGTGTCGGCTGCGTCTGGACCAAAAAGCTGCGCTTAAACACACAGCACAGACTGCAGCCGACTGCAAACTAGCACTTGCTTTCTGAGCCTCCGCGTCTATATCAGCAGGTATCAATACAGTCCACAAGGACATCCATGATGATATACGAAACGTAAACAAAGCAGCGCTTGTTTACCATTTTGAATATCAGTTATATTGATAACTTTCTACATTTTAAGCAGTTCATGTTGTTATGAAAATATTAGTGTTTTGGAATGCTCGGGTAGGTTAACATAACAATAGATCAGCCTTCTGCCTGTGCCGTCTTGACTTACTTGCTCTCTTTTGCTTTAAAGGCCCCCTGAAATCAAAATGATTTTTTTTTAGCTTGTAGTATGAATATGTTAGCTTTAAGGTTATGAATAAGCTGGTGTGTTCCAAAACAATGACAAAATTCACATTTAGGAGATATAAGCATTCAAAACTTACAGTCTCTCACTTCTGCTAAAATGGATTATGTATTTTTATGACATCGCCGCAGACTTCAGCTTCTAATCACATCTTCTGTCCAATCAAATGCTCTCTAGAATCTAAAGCGTCCCGCCCCCTATGCTATAAATACCACCTGGCCAAACTAAGCGATCTTTGACTAGTAGTGGGAAGTTCGGATCATTTTACTGACTCAGATCTTTGAATCTCGTTCATCAAAATGAACAAATCTTTTTTCGAGTAATTTCGTTCATTTCAGCAGAATGTATTTAAAATGTTACATGTTAATAGCCAAATTCAAACACATCAAATGTTGATCCCATTTAGAAGAAAAAAATTGCAATGCAAGGAAAAGGCCAAATTATGAGAAACAGAAACGATTAATTCATTTATCTGGGTCTTCAGGCTATGCAGTCTGTTAGTTTACCTCTCCTCCTGATCTAAGTCGTTCGTTTATCCCGTGACATCCTCATAAACTGAGCTTTGCAGTAGTTTACCTCTCCTCCTGAATCTTTCGTTTATCCTGTGACATCTTCATAAACTGAGCTATGCAGTCTGTAGTACCGGATACAGGATTATTTCACATTATGAGTCTTCGGGTTCGAGTCATTCGTTCATCACGTGACAAAAGAACGAATGACTCAGAAGAATCACACCCAAAGACTTGAGAGGTGAACTAATCATTTGTCTTTCCGGTACTGACAGCATATATGGGACTGACAGGAAGAACGAAAGGCTTGGACCCGAACCCGAAGACTCGAGATGTGAACTAATCATTTCTCTTTCCAGTACAGAACCTATAGGATGTTACGCATGCGTGGTCAACACAAAATTAACAAATCACTCTCTGAGACAACTCAGTAGTCCCGAGTCATATTAAAGAATCGTTCATGACCGACCCATCACTATCTTTGACACGTCACGGAGCAATACGGGTTGGAGATGTGTGTTCAGTTGCTCAAACGCTCGAGTTTTAATACGTTTTCCAACTGTACGTTGGTTAAGAATTAAATGGCTAGAATTTATTCACACCTCTACTATTGAATCCAACATATCATCAGCACTCGGATTCGCCTCCATGGTGCTGTCAAGTACGAATTGCAGTCTGTGAGGTAAACTAAACGCTATTGGCTATTTAAAAAGGGGGAGGAGCCATTCAATATGTCCCACCTTAGCTTCCTCTTTCAGTGGAAATTACGTCAATGCATCATACAAAACTGCGCGTTCTAAGGCACTTCAGTGGGCCTTTAATTCTCGTGCACTGACTCGTTCGCTAAACTGAATATCCAATCAGAGTTCCCACTCACCAATTGCCCCAAAGCAGATTCAACATGCTGAATCAGGCAAACTGTCGCCGACTTGAGCCTGACGAAAGCGGACGTGTAGAACACACTGCAAAAACTAGCCCGACAGATGCTCGCTGACCGTTGGCTTGGTGTGTCCCGGCCTTAAGGCCAACATGAATCTTTAAATCAAATGTGCATGACCTCTGGTGGCTCTACCTTCAGGGTCTTGTTATGGCGCTGAAGCTCCCTGCAAAGACTCTCCAGTTTGCTGCGTGCCAGGACAGCCTTGCTGTGCTCGCTCTGCAGGTGGATCTTCTCCTTCAGCACCTGGTTCTGCTTCTTCTGCAACACCTTCACCTGTTTTTGCATGCTGCGACTCTCCTCCAGCTGTCCCAGGAAGACACATTAGTATTTAGACATGCACTGAAATTTCAGCAACCCAAAATATTCCGCAGAAATGAATTAACTGTTTCAACATGTATTTCATGCACACAATGAGGATTCAACATCTATTTCATGCACACAATGAGGAAAAGCTAAAGTAGCAAAACATGTCAGCAACGTGGACCAAAAATAATGCGCCGACCAGTAAAGACCAGTTTTTTTGTAAAAAAAAAAAAAAAGTATCTAAAAAAAATAGTTTTTAATTTATCACCAGAGATCACAATATCCTGAACACGATACCAAATTCAATTAAAAGATTCCTCTAATTCAAACAGTAAAGCATGGTGCTAGCAATGCCAAGGTCATGGGTTCGATTCCTAGGGAATGCATGAACTGATAAAAAAATAGTATACCTTAAACGCAAGTCACTTTGGATAAAATCATCTGCCAAATCCATAAATGTAAATGTAATGACACAATTGACCAAATTTAATTACCAAACCTTTATTTTCAGTTTTCAGCTAAATTAAAACTTACATTTTGTTTCACTAAAAAAATGCATTTCAGCACGTCACTATTACTATTTCATACTACATGAATTGTATAATACTTTGTGCAGCTATTTCCTTTTCACTTTTGTTGTATGAAGAAAAGAAAAAAAAAAGAGCATCTCCTTTTGAATATCTCCTTTTGTCCTCAATGAAGGAAGAAAATAAATCATACGTGTTTGGATTGCAAATTTTGTTTTCTGAGTGAAGCCTCTCTGTAAAGACATTAATTATGAAATATGTCTATTGTTGAGCAATATCATTTCTCTAACCCCAAATACATACCAGGTCTGCATATTTCTTACAAAGGGCAGCAAGTTTCTCTTCTGGGGTGGCTAAAGTATGAAGTGCCTGCATCAGCAACAAAACCTCTTTGCCTATGACAACAAGGGAAGAATAATGCATAGAATAACCTGTTAAAACCAGTCATCCTATCACAACTTAAAAAAAAATCTACGGCTTAAAGTCATTTGGGGCCCTGTTTATGTATTGCATTAAACCTGAACCATTCCTTTAATGGTGAATACTAACCGAAGGATTTATGGTCCTTGGTTTTCGCAGCGTTAGGGCCCAACTCCCGATCGAGGGGGTCCGGGTTGCTATCTTCCCTGCCTGGCGTCTCCCCTCTTTCCTCCTCACTGCTCACCAGGCCCACAAAATCTTCCATGTTATCCTGGGATGGAGTCTCCACATCCAGAGGTGAACTGCTCCCTTCAACGAGTCCTCTGGCCTCTAAACCGCAGACCCCGATGATTTCCTCCATGACTTTAGTGCCCTGATGGTGTAAATGCAAAAAAAAAACCTTTTGAGATTAATTTAAGTTAACCAAGCTAACACTGACATTAACCCCTGACTCACTGCATTTAAGTTGATTTAAGTGACATATTGCGCATCCAATACAAAGATGCCTGTTCTAGTACATTGGCCAAGATTTTTATTGCAAACAGAGCCAAGTGCAAACAAACTCAGTATATTCAGGAACAGACAGATGAACACGTGCTGCACAGCCTGCACACAGAGAGCAGCCACACGCGAATCTGGCTGTCTCAAATCCCAGTGAGCTCCCTACATAGGCAGCATTTTGGGGGCATCTCACACGTCTGAAAAGAAGCTCACCTCACAAGGGTTTGACTTTGAGCCACAGCCAGAGAGTTATATTATAACCAGAACAAGCTAAATTCGAGGGAACGGGTTAAGACATGAAGACCAACGAGGCATTTATTCAAAGCACGTGCCAACTAATAATCTGTGCAACAGAAAATGCGTCAACACTGACCATTGCATTATACACCACAAATTTGTGAATATGAAATTATTAAAATTCAAGCATGTATTTAAGCATACGTAGCTTTCCTAACACATACTAGCAGTCTATATTGTTTATTTAGAAAGATAATTTATTCTCATGTTAAATCTTATGGCAAGCCAAACCCCTAAATGAGTGGCAAACGAGCCTCATATTCATCAATTTCCCTGGGTTGAGAGTTTAAAATGTCTATTTATTAAGGATATCAAAGCTCAGATAAAATATTAACACCAAAAATAATACTGTCGTGAAATCAGTAAAGCTGTAAACCTCAGGCTAACTCCACATTTACCCTGTTCAACACACACATGCGCGTGCATTCAACACATTTATTATCTTATCACTGATGCAAAATAAAAATCCATACCGTCACTCTTATGTCAGCGCTAAAAGTAAAAAAACGTCGCTATTGTAAATCGCAATGGTTAGCCTTGCTATTTTGATAGCGTAAGTTGAAAGTGCTTTTTTAAGTTGGCTTGTCTGCTGGTTAGCGGGCTAAAGCTACTTCCTTCGTAAATAACACACATTTATGGCGACAGGTTCCCTTCCTGTCCGTATAGCAAATCTTTCATAGCGTTAGACATGTTAATGATGTTATATCTGAAATAAATGTTCACCAATGAGCAGGTTGAGGTACAGTACCTGTGTGTTTTCAGTGTTTAATTCGAGCCTGGCATCTGAGTGCGTCGCCATGTTGTGACGAAATACTGAGAAGTGAAAATAAAGGCAAATCAGACTGGATGAACACAAATAAAAATCAAGTCAAACATATTTATTATATATACACAAAAAGCTTTATTAAAAAAAACTAACCATTCATTAAATTTGCTACTATTTCATTTTGTCAATTTATTTTGACATATGCTTTAAGTGCAGCGTGCGTTACCGGCTGCATTTATAACGTTATATTTAAGCCAAATGCAGGAAATAGCAATAAGTTGGTTTTATTTGGGCTGCAGACTTTAAATGGGGCATTGGTATAGATAGATAAATCCAAATGTAAGGTTGAAACAATCTGATTTTTATACTGTACACAAACTGTATTCTATCCTCTTTCACTAACCCTAAACCTATCCATCACAGAAAACTTCCTGCATCTCAAATGTTTCACATTTTACTATCTTTGTGGGGACATTTGGTCCTCCCAGTGTTGGTTAAACAAGAACACACACACACACACCAAACATCCATTTTCATAATACGAATGAATTATGATTGCAAAAATGGGATTTGAATGGAAATTTATTATATTTTAATATATTTTTAAAAAACTTTTTATATCTCAATGCTTTCCCTGTCAAAGTGAATTGATCAATCTTTATTTTACTAGAATGCATAACATGCTCTTGACTTGGCTCAACTTACCCCTAACATGTCATATGGGCAAGTTGAGCCATATACCATTTAGTTTTTTTTTTTAATTAAAAAGTCGTATTTTTAGAGACCTTCATATAATTCCATAATAATAATTTCCTTCATTTCAGTTATGAGAAACCCGTGTGACAAATGGGGTTTCGTAAACACAGTGTAAACACATGCAAGCACCCCAACAGTTAATTAGTTAATTACAGTGATATTGCAATTTTAATATGATTTTATTTAAATTAAGATTTTTATTAAGTTACAATTGTACAATTTTAAGTTATCGCATTTATTCTGAATGTGCGAGAAGGCAGGTAAGCAACTCAGCAATTATGTTTTTTTGAATGCTGCGACATGACCTTCTGTGCGTTACCGGCTGCACTTCTCCAGCGAGGCCTGTAGGTGGCAGAATCATATTCGCGGCACTAGTTTACCCGTAAAGCGGAAAAGAAGAAGAGATAAACAAATGGCGCGCTACTGGAGTTGTCACTTGGCTTAGATGTCATATTTTGGTGCATTTAACATCGTTGTATTATGTTCAAAAAGAGCCTACCAGAATGAATGATTATTTCTTCGAATTTTGTTAAAAGATTGTGGTTGTCTCTGGGCTTAGACTTAAGAGTGGGTGACTTTTACAGCCTCTTTACATGTGATCATTGTGCTTTGGTTGAAAATGCCTCATATTCAGGTGAGAGGAGTCACTGTGGACTTTCCCTTCACTCCATACCCGTGCCAGGAGGACTACATGAACAAAGTCATCGAGTGCCTGCAGAAAGTGAGAAACCCATTCACCATACACAACCCTTGCATGTAACGTTACTGCAGCAATATTTCTTTATAGTCTTTGAAACACCCTTTAATTTAATTTGCCAACTACTTTGAACGTTTCAGGGGCTTTAAAGATTATAGTCAACAAAGATAAAAAGTCTACCACTCTCTGTTATTTTCAGTTCAATAACTTTTTCCATTAGAGGTAAAATGCAATGTCAGAATGACATTTTACTGAGGGTAGAATGACATTTTTGTTTTACTTATCCTTTGATTCATGTATAACTTGAAGGCTGCGGCGCTTTCATCTAATACAATAAAGATGTTAAAGTCTTCCTGTAAGGTCACATTGTTCTATTCATTTCCTGTTAATAAGAATGACATGCACTTGTACTCTTTCAGAAAGTCAATGGTGTTCTTGAAAGTCCCACTGGCACTGGTAAAACGCTCTGTCTGCTGTGTTCGGCGCTGGGCTGGAGAGAGAACTTTAAAGACACCATCTCTGCACGCAAGATAGCAGACAGAATGGGCGGCACGGAGCTCTTCCCTGACAGACCAATGTCATCGTGGGGAACAGCAGCCACCGACGGAGACGCTCCAAGTAGTGTCCTTCATCTATTGATTCGATGTCGATTTGATTTATTTTCAATATCATTTGTAAACATTTCTTGTGTTTTTAAAGGCTACATTGTTGTATGAATTGTAAGCCAAATCATATTGACAATTGACATTCTGGGCAACCATTGGAATTATATTTCAAAACACAAGAAACAATATCATGATTTTTGTCTTTTCCTTTTTCCTTTTTCTTTTTAAGCTTATTACACGGACATCCCCAAGATCATATATGCTTCCAGAACCCATTCCCAGCTAACACAGGTCATAAATGAGCTTAAGAACACATCATACAGGTCAGCTATCTGAGTTATCACATATTTAAGGGATATTGTACAGTTAGCCATTCATGATTGTTGAGAATATGAAAACATGATTACCTCCTACCAAAATGTTTTTCAGCATATTCTATATTCCATATTCTACGCTACCGTTTGAACATTTTGTAAATGTTTTTAAAAGATGTCTCGGTAACACTTTACTTGAAGGGTTGTGCATAATCACGACATGACACCTTCATAATCATGACATGACACATGTCATGAATATGAATAAGGTTTAATGCATGTTCATGACAACTGTCATTAAGTGTCATTCGCTCAATTATGACATTTTTAATGCAAATATGACGTTGTTTGAGATGTCTTTGTTATGACAACTTGACATAAACCAATACATCATAACCTGTCAGTGTCTTTGTCATGACAACTTGACACTAAGACAACACAACCTGTCATAAATATGTCATAAACATGACAGCAGATTAATTATCAAACTTAAGAAACCACTTAGCTTTATGGGTTAACATTACATTAAACTGTCATGTGGTTGGTTTTGACATTGGCTGTCATGAGGCCATTATAACTGTGTCATGAATATTTTTCTTGAACTCAACTACAGTGGTACACATTTAATTTGTCATTAAAATGTTATAATGGCCTCATTTTCTTTTCTTTTTCTCTTTTTTTTTTTTACTAACAGATAGTATTGTTCTTTATTATAGGCCAAAAATTTGTGTTTTGGGATCTAGAGAACAGCTCTGCATAAACCAGGAAGTGATGCGTCATGAGAGTAACCACATTAAGGTATGAAGATCAGTACCTCACTGTCAGTATGTGTGACACAACTGACGCTTGAAATACCAGCGCTGTATCTCAACACCATATTAATGGAGGCATTATGGCTTATTTCAAGGTCCACATGTGCAGAGCAAAAGTGTCGTCCCGCTCCTGTGTCTTCTACAACAATGTTGATGGTATGAGACTAACATTGGTCACCTGTCAATAGAGATTTGAAACTTTATTACATAAAAGAGTTTCAATTATAATGGTTTTAGTTGTTAATGTGCTACTCTACGAGAACTTGCTGACTATTTTCTTTGGTATTTAAAGAGAAAAGCACTGACAAAGAAATTATGAATTCTATCCTGGATGTGGAGGATCTTGTAAAAACAGGCAAAAAGCAAAGGTGAGGCTCTGCACGTTGTTTCAAGGGCTTGATCAAAGCACTGAAATAAATCGTGTTTTTCTTCGCACTGCTGATGCAGCACCTGACATGATTCCATTGGGAATCTTTTCTTTGAGTGTTTGTAAATAGCGACATTGCTCAGACTGTTTGTTTCCATAGAGTTTGTCCGTACTACCTGTCCCGCTCAATCAAACAACACGCTGATGTCATCTTCATGCCTTACAACTACCTGCTTGACCCAAAGGTAAGACATTTACCCTACCCATCTCATCACTTTAGATACACCACTGTTCAAAATGTTTTTTTTTACTGTTTTTGAAAGCTGTCTCTAATGCCCACCAAGGCTGCATTTATTTGATTTGAAAATATAATAAAAAACAATAATATTGTGAAATATTATTACAGTTTAAAAGACAGTTTTCTATTTTAATATATTTTAAAATGTAATTTATTCCTGTGATCAAAGCTGAATTTTCAGCATCATTACTCCAGTCTTCAGTGCCACATGATCCTTCAGAAATCTTTCTAATATGCTGATTTGATGATCAACAAACATTTCTTATCATTATCAATGTTGAAAATGGTTGTCCTGCCTAATATTTCTGTGGAAAGTGCGATACATTTCTTAAAGTCAAAAAGAACAGCATTTATTTAAAATATGAATTTTTGTAACATTTTAATTTTTGTTGTCACTTGCTAAATGAAAGTCTTCATTTAAAAATAAATGTAAAAAAGTAAATAAATACATTTATTTACTGACCCCAAACTTTTTAATGGTATTATATATTTTTTATACTTTGTAATAATTATATTTTTGATTTAAAATGTATTGTTCTATGATAGTCTTTTTTTTATTATTATTCACAATTTTGATTTCTGTTGATTCACAGAGTCGAAGAGCACACAACATAGAGCTGAAAGGAGCTGTGGTTATTTTTGATGAAGCTCATAATGTTGTAAGTGTCTTGCTGATGTTGTTTGAGACCTCATAGCCATTCTATATTGTTGTTTGTTTTATATTCTATCAAGTGTTTGTGTTCATTTTCAGGAGAAGATGTGTGAAGAGTCCACCTCGTTTGACCTTACCCCTTACGACCTGATTTCTGCCATTGACGCTGTAGATCGACAGCTGCGGGAACATGCCTCAGACATCAGCAAAACAGATTCTGCTGAAGATTTTAATGTGGAATCACTGAATTCAGGTTAGTTTGGCAAAAAAAATTAATGGCTTATATATTTGTGTATATACTGTACAGTACTGGTCAAAAGTTTGGAAAAATTACTATTTTTAATATTTTGAAGGAAGTCTCTTATGCACATCAAGCATCCATTTATTTGATCAAAAATACAGAGAAAACTAACTGTAAAACTTTTGGAACCTGTGATACTTTTTTTCAGATTCATTGATGAATAAAAAGTTAATAAGATCAGAATTCATCAAAAATAGAAAGCCATTATCTAGATTGTAATAATATTGCAGAATATTACATTTTTTTTCTGTATTTAA